GGGCTTGGCCTCGGGGCCGCGGGGCGGGAGGGTGGGAGTTTATCGTAAGCGCCTCCCGAACGCAGCGTGGAGTGCCGCCGGCCCCCGGATTTGGGATTCGAAGTGTTGTCTAAGACAGGGGCTCGCTGCGCAGCGCAGGCTGGTCTCGAACTCGCAACGGTCCTCCCGCCTCAGCCTCCCGAGGGCTGGGATTACAGGCGTGCGCACCACGCCGGGCTTCCCTCCCCACCCCCCCATCGAGTGACTTTTATTTAAAATTCTGCGTTTGTCGTTAATTAGGAGGAAATTTTAAAAAATTCTTTTGGGGTATCGGGAATTGAACTCAGGACCTTGCACTTGCCAGGCAGCTCAGCGCTGTGCTGCTGAGCTACATCCCAGGCCCAGGAGGAAATTTTGTTTTAGAAAAAGCCTATTTGCTTTTGAAAAATTTGCGGTTGCTTTTTATAAATGATCGGTGGAGCGATGACCTCCGGACCCCAGTGTAGCGGCCCGGGGCGGTCTAAATGACGCAGCGTTTTGTCGGCAACATCGAGTGAAGCCCTCCTGGGAGCAGCGCGCAGGGACGGTTTTACGGACAGCTTCGCCCGCAGGGCGAGCGGGAGACGCGCATCCGGCGGGTGTGCCTGCGGGCGCTGCTGCTGTGCCCGCTGATTTGTCTGCGTGCCGCCTGCGGCCTTCAGTTCTACAAACGGAAACGGATATATTTCTAAAGTAGTTGGGGGAGGTGGGAAAATAAGTGTTAATCAGGTATCACATACCTCGCCTGTGCTTACAAAACTGATCACTACCTGCAAAGGAAAAAAAGCAGGAAGTTGCACAATCGGGACTCTGACCTGCGGAAAGGGCGTCGGGTTTCTTCAGAAGTTGTGTGTGTGCGGGGAAGGGAGAAGGAGTAGCATTTCACGGGGAGGACTGGACCGCATTTTGTGTTAGCCGGAAGTCGGGATTGAAGGGTCAGGGGACCCTCGGTAGAGGGAAGGGCAGCACCACAGCGTAGTGTGGCCGCCTCAGAGCGGGGGTCCCTGACCAGCCTAAGTCACGTCCTTCCGTGATTCTCGGCCGTTTCACCCTCTCATTAACATGCATGACTTTTAGCAGTTCCATCCGTTTATTTAAAGTCAGTCTTACTGGCCTGAGATACAGTTCAGGGAGTGCCTGCCTGGCAAAGGCAAGGTCCTGAGTTTGAGTCCCACTACCCAAAAAAAGGAGCATGGTGTAATGAAAATTCGACCTAGCAGATGCAGTGGGTCTTTCCCTGATTCTCTTCTGCACCCTTCCGTTTTTCTAGCGTGTAGCACAGTGCGGCCTGTGTGATTAGGGCTCAGGGGATACTCCTTGGAAGAGTAAGTGTAGCTACCAGCTGAAAACTAACACCTGGGCTTTATTTTCTCTTTCTGCAGTGCCTTGCTTTCCATGACATTTCCCCTCAGGCGCCCACACACTTTCTGGTGATCCCTAAGAAACATATCGCCCAGATCTCTGTAGCGGAAGATGATGATGAAAGTGTAAGTACCTGTCCGACGTGGCTTATTTTATTGCTTGTTAAATTGGGAAATTAGATGCTGTGGTACCGCTTTTCTTCTTCCTAAGGGCCTTTCTAAGGAAAAACGGAGCGACCTTTAGGATAATTCCTAGTATGGTTTGATTTTGACAAAATATATTCAAAAATGATAGGCATTTTGACTGCATGTTGTAAGACCAAGAATTGGTGTGCTGTGTGATTGAAATGAAAAACGTGTAAGGGGAGAATATTTAAATTATGGCTGAAATGCTCGTGATGGAGAGACTAAAGAATAGTTTGTGTAAGAGCACCCTATGCGTATACTGAAAAGAAAGTCAGTCATATGAAAGTCAAATCAAGTAAATCATGTCCACCTAAAATGGATACCATAAAGTCAGTCTTCAGTCTCAGTTATGAATACACGTGCCTCATGTGTCTAAAAAGTGTGGTTACTAAATTTGCAAATTCAGCTGGGACTGGGAATCTGGGAATCTAGTCCAAATTTGGCTGGCTGCCCGGTTTTATAAAGTTTCATTGGAACACAATACTCTGATTTGTTGTCCATGGCTGTTTCTGTACCACAAAGACAGAAATGAGTTGTCGTTTCGTTAGACGCCATTGTGGCCCATGAGCTTGCCATATTTACTGTTTGGGCCCTCGCAGACAGAGTTTGCTGACTTGGATTAGAGACAGCAGCCTAGAAAGAGGGGTGTAATCAATTACTTAACTCTGTAGAAAGAATTAGGAAACGTGTAAAATTAAGGTATAACTTGAAAAGCACAACATTCCTAGAATCACTGGTCAGATAAGTTTTAATATCTCAGACCCTATTGGGTAGGACTATATAATATTGTAATTAATTTGTAATTTTTATAGTTGAATCCTAAGTCATTCGTCAAGAAAATATTGCACAGGCCAGGCATGGTGGTGCATGTCTGTAATCCCAGCACTCGGGAGGCTGAGGCAGGAGGATCGTACAAGGTCTCAAGTTTGATTCCCGGTACCAAAAAGAAAAAGAAAATGTTGCAGGGATGGGACAGGGCAGGGGATTGAATCCAGAGAGCACTAAATAATATCCTCAGTCATTTTTTATTTTATTTTGATGTAAGGTCTCCCCAGCCAAATTGCCCAGGCTGGCCTTGAACTTCTGAATTTCTTTCCTCAGCTTTCTGACTTGAGATTACAGGCGTGCACTACCACACCTGGCCACAAGATGAATTATTTTAAGTAAACTCTTTAAGAAGGCAAAATTATATCTCATTGAAAGATTTTTTAAAATCTAAAAATATGTATGTAAATTTTGGCTTAGTGGTGTGTGCCTGTAAGCTCAGCACTTGGGAGGCTGAAACAGGAGGATGGTAAGTTCAAGGTTAGCTTGAGCTATACACGGAGTTGCAGGCAAGCCTGGATACAGAGCAAGACCCTAACTCTTAAAAAAAAGAAATTAAAATATGTATCTAGATTTTCACCATCTTATCTGTATGTAAATTGTTCTTTCCATGAGGATTTATGGTATCTGTTTACCTAGACCAGGGTTTTCTATAGAGCAACTGGTTTTCCAGAGGAAACCTTAGTCAGTGCCGGAGTTTGTCAGGCTGTTTTAATCCTCATTATTCCGTCGTTTATAGAACTTCATGGAAGTGTCTTCTGGAACAGAGCTGTAGAATGCTGACTTCTCCATAAATGAAAGGAATTAAGGCTGTAACTTTCTGTTGTCTTCTAAGCCAGAAAACTGTCAAAGCTGGAAAGAGCCCCAAATCTTACATATAAGCAAGTCATCTCAGCTTTAGGGAACAAACATTTAGAAGGCTGAGAAGTGCTCTAAACGTTTATTCTTCAATCTGTTCTGTGGTAATCTGAGTTTTCATTATGAATTAATTTATTGGTGCAGAAGTCTGTGTTTTATTAAAATACCAGTATTAAGTAGGAAAAGTAAGGGAATGGGATTTGTTCAAGTCAGCTGGAGGCCTCTTGATTTTAAATTGCTTCGTTACATGTTCAGTATCTCCAGTGTTCATCATATACTCATCTCAATCCAGTGAACTTTATTTCTATTTCTCTTTTAATTTGTCATTGAGTGAGTGTTGCCTATACCCTTCCTTCTGGTTTTCTGCTTGTTCTGTGTGGTGTCTAGTACGCTAGATGCAGTCACGGACACTTAACCTTTAGTCTGGCCAGTCTTTCATACAGACACCTTAGCTAATACAGTTCCATGGCTGCATTAACTCTTTGAAGTTACATGGCCTGAGAGAGGAACCAAGGCTGCCTGTTAAGAGTTAATGTGGCGGGGCGTGGTGGCGCACGCCTGTAATCCCAGCCCTGGGGAGGCTGAGGCAGGAGGATCGTTGTGAGTTTGTGGCCAGCCTGGGCTACAAAGTGAGTTGAAGGCCAGCCTGAACTGCATAGTGAGACCTTGTCTCAAAAAGACCAAAAAAAAAGAGAGAGAGAAAGAGCGAGCTGTAATGAGGTGCCTGACCCAGGACTTGAGGAGCCCATGCCCTTGTAACTGGCACTTGGGGGTAATGAGCAAAACAGAAAGTCTGTTTTATATTCAAAACTTTAGATCTTGACAAGTTGACTCCAGAATATTTGTGGAAAGTACAAAAGTTCAACAGTAGTCAAAAACCTTGAAGAACAAGCTCGAGATTTAGCCTAGCACTCTCATTTTACAGCTGCAGAAGTAAAACAGTAGTAGCAACTTCAGGGTAGTGGGACTTTAGAACAAAATAGAGTTCAGAAATAGGCCGTAACACATGCAAAACTTCAAGGTGACACTCCTTTTCTCAGTCAGTGAGGAAAGGAAGGACTTTGTTTCTGTAACTTTTTATTATGGAAAATTTCAAACATTCAGAGAAGGGAAGATAAGTATACCAACTGCTCCGATATTTGCCATCAAACTTCAGCATTTATCAGGGTTCCCATCCTGATTAAACTGTGCATGTGGAGGGGTGTGTGCGGGTGTGGGTGTGTGTGTGGTACTGGGGATCAAATCCAGGGCCTCAGCTGTGCTACACAAGGGCTCTAATGCTATATCTGCAGCCCTTTTAACGTTTAATTAAGTTATTTATCGATTTAGCCGTACTGGGGATCAAACCCAGGTGCTCTCTCCTGCTTAGCTGTATCTAGTCCTCGTTTTTTTTTGTTTTTTTCTGGTACCGGGAACCGAACTCACGACCTTGTGCTTGCCAGGCAGGCGCTTTTGCCCTGAGCTAAATCCCCAGCCCCTAAGCCCTCGTTTTAACTTGCCTCTTTTTAAGTTGCCTAAGCTGCCTTGAACTTGAGGTCTTCTGCCTCAGGCTCCCAGTTGCTAGGATTATAGGCGTACACCATGATATTCAGCTAAAAGAGTTTTAATGGAGCAGATTTTACACCTGACTCTTTTATTGGAATTAGTAATGTTAGTGGGGTAAGGTAGCACACACACCTGTAATCCCAGCGCAGAGGCAGGGGGCTTGTGAGGTGGAAGCCATCTTGGGCTATAAGTAGCAAGTTCAAGGCCAGCTTTTTTTTTTTTTGGTATCCAGAATTGAACTCAGGACCTCACTCTTGCTAGGCAGGCACTGTGCTGCTGAACTAAATCACCGGCCCTGTGGCCAACTTTTAAAACATAGTGAGGCCCTCTCAAGAAAGAGAGTGAAGCTGGTCATGATGGTACACACCTATAATCCTGGCACTTGGGAGGCTGAAGCAGGAGGATCACTTGAAATTCAAGGCCAGCCTGGTCTACATAGTGAGCTCAAGGTCAGCCTGCACAACATAGTGAGATGTGGTCTCAAAAAAAAAAAAAAAAAAGGTGAGCAAAGTAGCAGGGCCTGTAATCCCAGCACTCAGGAGGCTGAGGCAGGAGGACCATTGTGAGTTCGAGACCAGCCTGGGCTGCAAAGTGAGCTCAAGGCCAGCCTGAACTGCATAGCAAGACCTTGTTTTAAAAACACACACAAAAAAAGTGAGCAAGGTAGAAACTAGTAACGGGTTAAATACTTCATTTAATGAGATTGTAATTATAAATCACTGGGAATAAGAGAATTTCCAAATACTTGCCCAAGGTAGTGTTTCGCTTGACAGTTTTTTACTTCGATATTTCAAATTGACCGTTTGTTATTAATAGCAAGCAGTTGTAAATTGCCTGTGCTGAAGAAACTGTTTTTCTCTTCCAGCTTCTTGGACATTTAATGATTGTCGGCAAGAAATGTGCCGCGGACCTAGGCCTGAGTAAAGGTTATCGAATGGTGGTAAACGAAGGCGCCGACGGGGGGCAGTCTGTCTATCACGTTCACCTCCATGTTCTTGGCGGGCGGCAGATGCATTGGCCTCCCGGTTAGGCACGCTTTGGGGATAACTTGCCCTTCTTTAGGCAGTGATTAAGTTTGCAGGTTCCAGCATGTTAAACAGTACATTTACTTTTGCCTGTGTATGGCGAGATTGAAGAAATTATTATAAAAACCTGTATGTAATAAAAGACATCATTGCATGGTTTACAGTCTCTGAGTTGATTTATCATTTGAAGAAACGTATTTGTGGGATTGCAGGAAGGTGGGTTCCCAAGTTTGGAGGTTGCTTCCCTTGTTTTTGCCGATGCTGGGGATTGAACCCGGGGCTTAGCTCTTACTAACCACTGCCTTTGAGCTCTCTCTAACCCCTTGTCTTAGTTACTTGTTGCTGAAACCGAGTAACCGACACCCACAAGGTGAGGGAGGAGAGCTTTATTTCAAATCACAGTTCACAGAGGTTTCAGTCCATAGTGGGCTGATTCCAAGGCCAGGCAGTGTGGCAGGGGGCATCGCAGAGGAGAGGCCCTGGCGGGCAGGCCAGAGATGGCGGCGAGCCTGCCTTCTTTCTGTCCCCTGTATTCCCTCCGGGCTACAAGCCTTTTGGGTAGTGCCACCCATGCCCAGGGTGGGGCTTTGTCTTCAGTAAATCTCTTCAGCCACACCCATAGCTATGCTAATTCTAATCAGTGCTTTTAATTTAGTGACACACATGCTTGATCCCAGCGTCACACACGCTAGGTCCAGCCAGCTCTGAGAGCCCCACGTATAAGTGCATGTGGCTTTGGGGGCATCCAGACACAGCCATAACACCCCTCTTCAATTTCCGTTCATTTTCTTTCTGAGGAGAACCTGACATTTGAAAATTGCATGGTTATAATGTGATTGGTCTTTAATGACAAACCACAAGTGTTCATAAATGTAGTTTTAATTTTGAGCTATCCTTTTAACCATTTAACAGTTCATCTTGTGTCACTCAGGCAGCGTGTTTGTTTATGAACAGATGTCATTTTATCCAGGCGATTCTTTTTTTTTTGGTCTTTTTGAGACAGAGTCTTGCTATACAATTCAGGCTGGCCTTGAGCTCAGTTTGTAGCCCAGGCTGGCCTTGAACTTGCAACGATCCTCCTGCCTCAGCCTCCCAAATGCTGGGATTACAGGCGTGCGCCACCGCGCCTGGCCATCCAGGCGATTCTTGTGTGCATGAGGTACACCGGTACTTCTCTTGCTTTATATGAACTATTTTTTCCATACTTTTAAATTTAGAATGTTGTATTCACCTTTGATGTTTGTTTCTAGTGAAATCTAATGTTTTGGTTATTTTCTTTCATTTGTGTTTATTTGTGAAAAATAACCTATTATTTTGTACCACAGTCTGTAAAAACTCCTGTTGTAAGTACACTAGGTATAGTTTTTATACTGCTCCAGAACTCAGTGATACTCTTGATACAGTGCAAAACGGGCATGTTTGGCCAGAGACTGAATAGGCAGGAAGGGCCAAAAGAGCTGCAAAAGAAAAAACTGAAATGTTAGATCCGAGAGGAAGAGCCCGTGTTAAGAAATGGAAAGACAGCTGGGCGTGGTGGTGCACAACTGTAATCCTAGCACTCAGGAGGCTGAGGCAGGAGGATCGTTGTGAGTTTGAGACCAGCCTGGGCTACAAAGTGAGCTCAAGGCCAGCCTGAATTGCATAGTGAGACCCTGTCTCAGACCAAAAAAAAAAAGTGAAAAAATATTATTATAAAATATTTATACACCTTCTGGACCAAACAATATGCAACTCATTTGTTGTTTATTCAAAACAAAGGAGTTCAAAAAGTCACAATTCAGGGCTGGGGATTTAGCTCAGCGGCACAGCACTTGCCTGGCAAGCACGAAGTCATGAGTTAGATTCTTGGTACCAGAACCCCCCCCCCGAAAAAAACCCAAAAAGTCACAATTCAGATTGGGTCTAATAGACCAAATAATTGAAAAATACAGGACAGCGAAACGCCAACCAGAATGTCCATCATCGACATCTTCACCATTATGTTTAGTGGGTGGACATTTTATTGAAATTATACCCCACAGGGAAGGGTGAAGCCAGCATGACAGTGTAGTTGGTGTTCAAAGACAGTAATGCAGAGAGAATTTGGAAAGGCTAGGTACTACTGTCCAGATTGTAATGTTGCATTGTATATTGAATGTTTTAAGATGATACACACACACAGATATGCCATACACAGGTTACTAAATAAATTTCATAAAATTGTCATTTTTATATTTCCTATTATAAAATTAATGAAAATATGCAATTTTTAGTCATCTGTATTTAAATAATTGGACTGGTATAGTAGTTAAGCTAAAGTATTAGTCCAAGAGATTCTCTGACTTAACAGTCTCATAGCTGAGAACGTTGGGTATTGATGTGATGAGCCGGACAGTGGCCATCCTGAGTTTGGAAACAGTGCTTTATCGTCCCCCTGACGCTTTGCCTGGGGCTTAGGGACTTGGGAAGGGATGAACATAGTTTTGTCAGAATCTGCGATGACCATGAGGAGCCAGTCGTCGGTACTTCCTTAGTAAACTCTGAATATTTAAAGACTTGAATTCATGTTCTCTATAGGACGCCTCTGTGTGTGTGTGTGTGTGTGTGTCTGTGTGTGTGCGCGCGCGCGCACATTAGCAGGAACATTTAAGCTGTGTATGAATCTGGCCGTGTGGAGTTGGGGAAGGAACCTCAGGCTCCTGAGTTCTTATGCAGACTGACAAACAAACATTTTGTTTTGTTGACAGCGTCTTGGTATGTACTCGGGCCAGCCTTCAACTCACTATGTAGGACAGGCTGGCCTGGAACTTGGGGCAGTCTACCTGCCTCAGCCTCCTTAGAGCTGGGATCGCAGATGTGTGCACCAGGCCCGGCCAAGCCTGTTTTGGGTCTCACGATGTACCTTAGGCTTTCTGATTGTGTACAAGGCAAGGTAGCCTTGCTTCATGGCTTCCCATCACACACGTGTTCCACAGCTTCGGAGATGTATTTGAGCGAGGCGCAGTGGCACGTGCCTGCACTGTCCTTCATCCCAGCACTCCGGGAGGCTGAGTCAAGAAGATCACAAGTTGGACCCCAGCCCGGCCAGTTTACCAATTTAGTAAGACCCCGTTAAGAAGGGAGCCGGGGTGGGGATGTAGCTTCATGTGAAGGCCCCCAGTTCTAAACTTTAAACTTAAAAATTGATACTTACTCTTGTCTCTTCTCTCATCCTCTTTGTTTATTGTTTTTATTTTATAATTGTGATAATTACTTTTGCAGTACTAGAGATTGACACCAGGGCCTTCACACTGATCTATATCCTCAGACTTTTTTTTATTTTGAGACAAGGACTTGCTAAGTTGCATAGTCTGGGCTCAAACCTGTGATGCTCCTGCATCAGCCTCCCAGAGTGCTGGACTTGAAGGCGTGTGCCACCACACCCAACTGATTTCTTTCATTATTATTGTCTAAAACAATCATTTTAGTGTGTTCACTCATTTAATTGAAAATTTTACAATTTTTTTCTTGTTCTTAGTGATTTTTAAATAGTTATGGGAGGGAATTGGGGAAATTGACCCTTTATGTAAGGCAAATAGTTTTTTCCCAATTTGTCTCCTTTGTCGTGTTAAAAATATTTCTATAGTGATGGAGACCACCGTGAAGTGGCTCTAAGCAGGCTTTTTTCTTTTCTTTTCTTTTTTTGTCTTTTTGAGACAGAGTCTTGCTATGTAGTCAGGCTGGCCTTGAGCTCACTTTGTAGCCCAGGCTGGTCTGGAACTTGAAACAATCCTCTTGTCTCAGCCTCCCCAGTGCTGGGATTACAGACGTGTGCCACCACGCGTGGCTCACATTGCTTTTTAAATTTGTTTTATAAGTCTTTTCTACCCTAACATGATTTATAAAAAGTCATTTTTTGTTTTATTTGGTCTTTTTGAGACAGGGTTTCACTACGCAGTTCAGGCTGGCCTTGAGCTCACTTTGTAGCCCAGGCTGGCCTTGAACTGGAAGTGATCCTGTTATGGTAAAAATTTTGGCTGTATTCCACAAGAGACCAAAGAGAACAGACAAAGTTTTAATTTAGACCGGTCACCTCTCATCCCGACTTGTAAGTCCGGGAAGTGGGCCTGTCTTTGTTCCCAGGTTATATACATTTTTGGTTTCCATGGTAACAGATTGGAATGTTGTAGCCCTGGCCACATGTTGTTTTCCTTGTGCCATGTAACCAGGTCATGAGCCCAACCACAATGATATATACTTTCTGTACTCTGTTTTATATGTCCCCCTTTAGGTAGCCATACATTTCCTTTATGGTTACAATGTTTACCTAGGGCCAGGAGACGGAACTGCCCAGGCAGGGTCACGAAGGGTCACCTAGGCCTAGGCGCCCCCTTATCTTGGGGAGACATTCCTGGGCAGTGTTGATCTGGGGAATTAGCTCTTACACTGTCCCGGGAGGCTTCCCAAGGCACCATGTAGGCTTTTACCAAACTATTTTATCTAAAATAATATGCCAAGATTCATTGCCCCCTACAATCCTCTTTAGCCTCCTGAATGCTGGGATTACAAGTGTGAACTACATACTTTAGTTGTACCACAGTTCACAATGGAATGAGAAGCCTCTGTGTAGGAGGGCGGAGTCTGCAGCTCGGCCGCCCCCACTGCAGGAGTCCAGCCCTGGAAGAGCCCTGAGCCGGCCCTGCTTCCCGTGGCCTCCCCGCCTGACCAAGGTCTGCAGTCCGCACGGCCCTGTCTGGTGCTCACGTTCTTCCATGGTCTGCGGGACCCACGGAGGGCAGAAGAGACTGATTTCAGAGGCTGGGGCACGAAGGGCACTGCGGCTTATACCCTAGTCTCTCGGACTGTTCATTGCTACACACTGTGTCCCCACCGAGTTTATCATCTTCAGGGTGGCGCTATGGAGGAGGAGCCTTTGGCGGGGGACCAGCGTGAGGAATAGTGGTGCTACTGTAAAAGACGGGTGAGGGTGTGAAGACAGCGCCTGCTAAGCAGGACAAGGGCCCTCGCCAGACGCGGTCTGCCAGCCTCCTGACCCTGGCTGCTCAGTTCCCAGAACCTTGGGAAATTAACTACGGCTGTGTGTCCATAAGCCCCGCGCTGTGGTATCCTGTTCCGGTGTCCAGAGCAGGCTGCTACGGCTGAGGACAGCCCACGGGAAAGGCCTGTGGAGGGGCCCGAGCCC